TCGATTGGATGCCCTACTATCGAACAAATCCCGCAAGCCTTCACTGCTTGCATATTACCTACAGCCATTTGACGAACAAGAGAAGTTAGACTTGAGATTTGTTGTTCAAGGGAGGAAATATTTACTTCATTATCACGCCTAGCAGGAAGGTCAAGCCTAGTGCCAAATTGTTGAGAATTGGCCGCCATATTTGCAATCAAGTTTCTCGCTTTCTTTTGATTTTTATTCACTAAATTTTTTTTATTTTTATTATTTTTTATTTTTTTATTATTTTTTTTTTTTTTTTCTTTTATTTACTTGATATTTTGCTTCTTTTTTTTTTTTTTTTTTTTTCTGCTTTTTTATAATTTTTTTTAATGTTTCTATTTTTTTTTTATTTATTTTTCATTGTTTTTTTTTATTTTATTTATTTTTTTTCTTATTTTTTCTTTTCTTTAATTTTTTATTTTTTTCTTTTAATTTTTCCTTTTTTTTGTTGAACCTGTCTTCACTGTCACAAAATTAAACCTAAATACCTTAGTTAGCTGTAAGCATGTTTGAATCCACATGGATCAAGACTAACAATCTAATGTATTTTTAGTATCGGAAATGAAATTGGCAATTGATTAATGAAACTAAATAAACTAAATGCAAATAATGAAATAGTGAAATTAAAACTAATAAAGACTTTATAATAAAAATGTTGCCGTTACGGTTTTAGTTCGACACGAGACTAACTCACACAATTCTTCTCCACCCTCTACGATCCGCTAAACCTACAAGGCAAGGTAAATCAATGAAATGGCTTCCCGACACTCTAGGTATAATCTATCTATCTCACCCGATCACTCAAGTTCGATTCGTTAAAGACTATTATTGAACGCCGATAAACGCTATAAGGCAATACCACTAGTTGGTACGCGATTAACAAATATAATTTGTCAACACGTATAATCCAATCAACCAACTTCACAATAAACGCAACAATAGTAGAAATTATATTAAATCCAAACACAACTCAATTACAATCGATGCGAAGTAATGAAAAGCAATATTCATCATTCAATTATTTCAAACCAGTGTTTATCATTCAGCAAGTTCTATGAAAACATTAAATCATAATGGACAACAATATTCATCACAAGTTATGCTCAAATCATATTAAAGTATCGAATCAAACATGAAATGAAAAAAAATATAATCTAAAGCACAATACTACCAAATGTCCTATAATCGGGCTCATCCAACTAGTCGAGAGCTGATGAGGAGAGTCGTGGAGTCAATCTCGATCTCCCCTATGCCGTAACAGACAACCAGGAACTTAGCCGCTCATGGTGGTGATGATGGAGGCCGAAACGGTGGAAACGAAGCTGACCATGGCCGAGAGGAGGTAACCGACAGCGATATGATGCAGAGAAGGGGCGAAAACAACCCACGGACAGCCCGTAATACGAACAGCCGCACTCGCCAGAAAACGTTAATTTTCCAGCGGGTCTTTCAAAAAACGGTGGCAGAAATGAGATCCGAAGGTACCGATGGAAAGCTCTGGTAATGGGGAGTTTAGATCAGGTTCTGGGGAGATGAGAAGTCACCAGAAATGAGCAGGATCTGGGCTGAAAGATGAAGAGGCGCGGACTCTAGCAGTTTTTGCGGCAGCTGAAGCTTGGAAATGCTAGATCCGGCCGTGGGGAAGGGACATCGACTCTTGGGGAGCTGAAACGTCACCGGAAAACGGCCAAATCTGGTTGGGAGACGAAACATCACGGTAGGAAGATGAAGCTCACGGTGGCGTGCGTGTTTCACAGTGGTGATGAAGGGATGATGGTGACCGGAGCAAGGGGAAGCTGAAACGTCACCGGAAAAGGAGATGAAGGGTCACCAGAGCTTGATCAGAGAAGGTGAAGAGTTCATCTCGTTCCATGTGGTTATAGTCCCGAAGGGTAGATAATAAAGTCAATCCTTAGCCGAATCCTTCAAAGAAAACGGGAAGGCTCTTAATTTAATTTGCTCTTCAGTCACCCCCATAGGTTTCATATCCTTAGCCGAATCCTTCAAAGAAAACGGGAAGACTCTTAATTTAATTTGCTCTTCAGTCACCCCCGTAGGTTTCATACTCGTGCAAACCACATGAAGCTCCTTTAGATGCTTGTGAGGATCTTCACCTGCAAGGCCATGAAAAGTGGGTAAGAGATGTGTTAGTACAGATTTTAATTCAAAGGTAGTAGTAGCATCTAAAATAGGGAACGTTATGCATAAAGGTGCTTGATTCAAATCAGGGGCAACAAGCTCTTTCAAAGTTTGATTTCCAGCCATGACTTCCTCTTCTTGTAAATCAGAGTTGCTAGCAAATCAGGAATCAAAAGCCAAATTGTTTTCCTTAGGATTTCTCTGAGCTTCCCTCCTTAACCTGCGCAAAGTGTTCTCTAATTCTGGGTCGAATGTTAAATCACCAAGATGAGAGGACTTGGTCATAAAACAAAAAATCCCATAAAAGAAATAGGAAAAATAAATGACCAATAATGAAAACCGACTAGAAAATAAAAAAATTATTATTTTTTTTATGACCAAAAACACAAAACTGGTCAAAAACCCTATCAAACGTTGTTTTTTGGCCTCGAGAGAGTGGGGCTAGTGAATCCTAAACGGATTTAGGGTTTAGGGTTTAACTAGTCCTGTGCATCGTTTTCTTCGAAACGGGTATTCGCACCGCTCCTAATTCCACCAAAAATCCTATCGTGAACAGTACTGCCAAAAATTTTTTTTCTAGAAAATTAAAAAAAAAAATAACAAGAACTAAATAAAAATCAAGTAGAATCACTCCCCGGCAGTGGTGCCAAAATCTGGTGTGCTGTCGTAGGCAACCAAGATTAAAACCTAAAAACACATGTAGTAGTGTGAGTAAGGATCGTTCTCACGGAGAGTGTCTAGCCGAGTTTTATGTTACGGGGACAAGGCTAGGGGGGTGAGTTTGGGGGAGGGGGGGTGGTGTTTGAGTAAAACAGAAACACTTTTAGGAAAAAACAATTCAAGTTAAATAATTGAAATCAATCAAAATAATGAAACTTGGTCTAAGTCAACATCCACCATCGGAATCTTACAACTAATCAATGATGCAAACATAAATCAATTCATACCTTGAGTATTCACCGTTGGAACTATTTTCCTATCTCTCCTTAGTTGTAATTAATTAAGAAACAAGCGATCTAATTAATCTTACTACTAGACAACCCTAGACAAGTGCTAAAGGTTTAATCTAGTGGCAGCCTTAAGGGCTAGAGAAATTGATGAAGCTGAACAACACAAACACAAGCAGTTGTATTTAATTTAGTTGAATGTTCTTCTTAAGATTTAATGATTCCTGATGCAGCAAATTCTTAAACCTTAATTACTCACAAGTTAGATGGATCAAACAATTATGGATTTGATATCTAACTTAGCAGTAGATTGCAACGAATAATATACTAGTAGGCCTCCTAGTAATTAAATGAAACAATTATGAAAATAGGCATAGAAGAACATCTAATACTCAAAACATAAATTGAACACTAAAAAAAACAAATTAGATCTCACAATTTTATTGATTTCGAGGCCTTCGTTTCCTTCAACCAAGATATGAAAGTTTTAGCCGCTCATGGTCATAATCAAAACTCAAAAGAGAAAATTACAACAGAGAGAAAAGAGAGGCGTGTGTGTGTTCCCCCAAATCTGATCTCCCTCTTCTTTTAAAATTATCCAATTCAAATCTTTTAATTCTACTAAATCTCCTAAAAATATTCTAAAATCCTAAAATAACCTTTATCCTAATCTGATTAATTGAAAATAAAGTTTTAATACAAAACAGGAAAGTGGTGTTTCCAGCTGTAATTTGCATCCAACAAGTCTTCAAAACTTCAAATAATAACCCTTCCTATTTGACTGGACAAGGCAGAATGTTTCAGAACGTTAGCAGTGCAGGTTTGTCAATTTCATGCCTGATTTCAACCTTGATGCAGCAAGTATCTCTCCAAACTCAAAACATAAAAGTTGTAGATCTCTTTCTTAGGGTTCCACAGTATTTTGAATCATCTCAATCGGAGCTCGGATGAGAGAGTTATGCCCAGATTACGAAGCAATGTCAAAACCATCTGAATTCACCTAATTAGTTCCGTTTTGCATTTAACGCCCCCATTTGAATCCTAAATCAAAATAGAATAATAATTAGTACATTTAGGCAACAAATAAGTATAAAAGACTAGACATTAAGGGCGGTAAATATGACATTTTGCACTCTCATAAATTTTGAAAATATTTGCAAATCATAAATCAAATGGACCCTTTTATTATTATTTTGATTGTAATTTAAATCGTATTTAAAAGGTGAGTTTCAATTGGGTTAATCAATTGTTAGAGCTCTTATTAGATGAACTAACTAAACAGGTTGTTGAGAATAAATAAGAGATATAAATGATTGATTAAGGTATTAATATATGATTACGTTAAAATGTTTTTATTAAAATTATTTTTGAAAGCATTTTCACTTATTCCGATAAATGTCTTACATGAATTATATAATTTGCAATGTTACTCAAAGTAACTTATATTCCGATAAATGTGTTACAATATATTTTGTGATTGTCTATGTTAAAGGCCCTTGACTATATGATAAGTTTGATTAGATTAATGAAATTTGCGAAGAGACTGAAGTTTCGTTGGATTTTCTCCAAGACTTAAAGAAAGGGTCGTTGTAGACTTTATTATCATCATTATCATCAATCCTTAGTATTGAATATTATGGCAAATAAGGAATAACAGTAAGCCTTATAGTCAAGTTTCTGATGGAATAAAACAATTTATAAAAGGGAAAGGAGAAATTTCAGTAACTTGTAAAAAATTTATAACTCTCTGGCAACCAATGGCCTAAACAACAAGAAGAACCCTTCAACATAAAGATGACAAACTTTAATAGATGCTGAATTGCCTATACTCACTAACTAATAACAGCATACGAAATTTAGAGATTCAACTACAACAATTTGGAAGGATTGAAATCTGAAAATTACTACACTTTTTTATCAAATGAAGCTGTTGTTTTTACAGAAAATTTAGAATGCAATATTTCCCTTAATCTGACTCGTACATACAGAAAAATTTGAACATTTATGAGAAGAATCACACTCAAATCTGACATTTTATGCTGGATTCGTGCAAATTACAAATGCAGGAGCAAAACTAAATTACCTTCTCAAGTGGATAGATGCACATAACTTATTGAAGATGTTCTTCGTATAAGTATTTACCACACTAAGCCCTTTTTTCTCCTAATTCTATCGACACGGTCAGTGCTCATCCGAGACTTTTCAGGCTTATTTGATCTCTTAGATTTCTCAAGCCGACTATCTAAACTGTTTCTAGAAACCTCTGGAAGGTCAGCACCCAATTCAAAAGTATCCGAAGAACCACCTTCAGATGGTTTGCTCTGATTGTCAGGTTCAGCAGTTGTTTTTTTAGAAGCATTAGCTGCTGTTTTTGATTTGCCTAGTGACAGTACAAATTTCTTCAGATGCCTGATGAATTCAGGATAAAGCTCAAGATTGCAATGTCCTCCTCCACTTATCCATAAAGGATCATACTTCTCCTTGCAAAGTTCCCAAAGCTGTTTCCCATGGGAGCAATCAACAACTTCATCTGCAGTGCCCTGAAGACCAAACATAAGTGACTTAACCAGTTTATACCAAATAACTTCCGCACTGACAAGGACTATATATCTACTGGAGTTGTCAGAGGATGGATGGCGAAGAGGATATAATTAGTGTAAAAATCAAAATCAAAATACGAACAGAAAGAAATTTCCTAAAGAGAAAATTCTATTATATACAGCACAAGGATGAATAAAGTTTTAATGACATGATCTGAATAATTTATAAGTGGCATCCATCTAGTAAAGAAAGATAATAATTCCTAGCATGTCATTGTTAAAGGCTATAGATATTCACATGATCTTCAGAGCTCCTCCTTTTCAACAACTTTCAATATTGATGCTTTTGCGCTCTCTTCCCCTCATATTCTCATATCTGCCCCCACTTTATGTAACTTAAGTCTAGAGGGGACTTTAACCTACGACAAAATGTTTAGCAAATTAACTATTACTGATATTCTACATTTGATATTTTTTTAAAGATTATTTAGTTAAAAGCTTTGCATTGCTATAATCAATATGGTCGGCCTGCCAACACTGAGGGGGTTTTGGTAAAAACAAACAAGAAGAAGAAAGGAAATATATAAACAAAGAAAACGACACTTACATGAATAACCAAAACAGGACAATTGACCAAGCCAATTTTGTCGATATTCTGAAAATCAAAAAAAGGAACAATTAATAACATAAGCTTCCGTCAACATAATTAAACAGGACATATACAACATAATCACTTCCACAAAATCACCATGTAAAAGTCAAACCAATATGTCCTCTTGACAGGGTACAATACCCTCATACCAGACAAAATTGGGCTATGCAAAACGACCCCTCTCAAGTTTGGCAAGCGTGAAGCGAGATCAAGAGTGGGTCCACTACCAACAGATTGACCATATAATATTAATTGTTCATCTTTAACTCCATACTTCTCTTTGAGGCATTTATGGGCTGCATCTATGTCTGCATATGTATTACATTCAGTTGGCTGTTTCAGAGGAAAAATAGCAACTGTTATAATGTGACTTATGTCAGCAAAATGGCAAAACTTTAGCCAGACAAAATAAATTGCATTTAAAGATGACAAACACACATAAATGAAAAACAGTTCATGCAAACTAAACAACTTTGATAAGATATTGATTTAATAGACAATGTGAAATTAGTAGTGAAAGAAAGAATTCCAATATAGGATCTTGATGTAACACAAAAGTACAGGCATTACTGATTCAATTTAAAAATCATTACAGCTATCAGATAGATATAAAATGCCAAAGTATTCTGTTCTGTAAATACAAGCATCTAGGATTCAATAAATTATTATGGCTGGGAAAGGATTGTCTGCCAAATCAAGAGTTAAACAAGCAAGTAGATTTGTGTGAAAAAAAAAAAGATTTTATCATTTGCAACCAAATATAAACATATTCTCACTATCAAACATTCACATGCTCTATCTTAGAAGATAGAACAATCAAATAAAACTAATATTTATAAATTGTTTGCTTCAACAGAGTAAATTATATTTCAAGTTTATGTTAACAATTACACTAGTTGCGAATTGTGTTGGCTTGCCTTAGTAGTTCCATTGCCCTGATATCAGTTCTAGCACATTGTTCCCTACATGGAAAAGAATTATTCTTTACTTGTTTAATTGTTAGAGCACCTTACAACTTAAACCAGAAACTAAAATGAGCATTTGTGAATTCAAAAATCTTTTTAAGTCCTGCATGCGGTTTCCATGAAACGAAAATATGAAAAGAAATATATACATCCTTTTCCAGAAGTTTATAACTGCAATTATTATCAAATCTGATAAGTGCTTGGACATCATAGACCATCCTTGCTGAGAATAAACTCAGAGATTAAGTGCTTCTTTAAAATTTGGCAGGTGCATGATTGTCAGCAATTAATGCATACATTAAATAAATAAAGAAGCAAAGAAAAACCTTTGCTAGAACAGATCGGAAAAAGAAGACAGAGAGGGAGAATGAAATTGTGTTATGTGTAAAGCAAAGGCCTACTAGAAATTTTAGTTTCAGTTTTTAAGCAATGAGGTGAAGGTACAACTCATATTTATAACAGATAAAGTCCAAAAATGCAAAAGAATGGGAATCCTTACAATTAATTCTTGGTTACCTAAAAGTGAAGGATATCTTATTATCAAGAAGTATGAACACCCAGAATAAAGATGTCAAATTGCTAAAATTAATTCAACTTAGGCAAAGCTCTCTTCAAATTAGTAGCTACTAAGAATTGAGAAGCTAGATTTCTAACCTTTCCAGTCGATTGTCCATAGCCAGAGTAATCATACCTAAAATAACAGGATACAGGAGTCAGGAATAGTCCAAAAGGAACATAGGTAAGATAAAAGACAGCAAAAGGAGTCCATTGTGAAAATAGAATATAATTCTGTTATAATACAGCAATTTTAGTTCTGAAAAAGTCTATCTGGATTCTTGAGTATAGGTCTCTGAAAAGTTTGTAATAAGAAAAATTTTGCATATTATCATATAATTATTCAAATTAATTTCATCCTAATAGTGTATTAAGCCAGATATTCTATAGTTTAACATATAGCAAAGTGTACGAGAAAGAAGACAAAGGTACTAAAAAATATAATTATTATCTCACTCCAAAATAAAAAAATAAAAAAAAATCAACATAATTATTACCAAAAGGAATATTACAAAAAAAAAAAAAAAAAAAAAATTGTTGTTCAGATACCAGAATATAAATCATAAGACGTTGACATAACCAACCAATAAAGAGTATAAATTAAGATAATGGTATGACTAAACTCTCACTATTAGCATTGATGGCAGATTATAATAACAAACTTCTCCATGACAAATCAACCATATAATGGTCCTCAACAACTTCCTGACAGAATAGATTTCCTAATAACCCAGGTGCCACATTTCTTGAAATTGTTGAGCCACAAGCTATATTTAATTTTTTTATATATACATATAATTTAAACAAAATATTACTAAGTTCAACAATATTCTATCAGTGTGCAGTTTGTTCGATCAACTTAGTCATGGAACTAGATACCTGTACTGCGATAGTGGTAGAGATTCTTGTCAAAGGTAATAATTATGTAATGTCACCTAAACATGGGATCATGCCACATATGCATATGCAGAAGCTAACGAACCATGTGAACAAAATGTTCGTCCACAAAACATTGGAACCTTTTTCTAAAAGACATGACCCATACGCAAATTGATCAATTATGAACTGTCACATCGAAATTATAAAAGAAAGATTGTGAAATTTGATTATAAGTGTAATATTGCATGTCCATCGGATTTAGAGGCAATTAATTTTTAATCCAACCACCGTTTAATTCACCTGAGCCTCTCTCGCTAAGATAAAACTGACCCAAGTTTAGGCTCGATAGTGGGCAAATCAGGGCCTAGCCATCCAGAAAACGAGTCCAATTGATTCAAGGACTAATGGGTCTGCCCCTCTAACTAGTCCTTATAGATGGACTGAAGTGAACCAGAACCAGAACAAAGAATAATTTGCCCCAACCCAGGCTGCCCCGATTTGATACCACATATGCAAAATTCTAAAAATAAATATAATTTGCTGGTCATTTTATGTATTAAGTATTATCGACAGCGATAAATAAGAATTGCTCTTACTTGTGGAGACAAATTGTTATATAGCTTTAATGTAGCTTAGGAACCCTCATCTAATTTATGGTTGACGGCATTAATGATTCTTAGTTTGATGCAAGATGTTGTCATATCTCAACTCATTTGTCAACACTGAAATATACAAAATGATATGAGACAAACTTTTCGGAAGAGTGAAAATATTTATATCAACTCATTAAATAAAAATAAATGATACATCAATTAAAGGATAGTATCATATCACAATTTATGCTTCACTTTGTTATTACTGATATATACATAAGTCTTTTTGTGTGATGCATTAATCATGTGATGATGTCGGAGAAGAATGTTAAGTTGATCTTGTTGGAGAAGAGAAGTAAGGTTTTGGTGGAAATTCCAAGTTTTCTAGGCTACCCTCCAACATTTCTACAACTTTGGTCATCGATGGTCTATCATATGGATTAGTTTGAATGCACCACAAGCCCACTAATATCATCTTTTTCACAATCTCTTTTTCTTCTTCAGTGTCAATCCCATGAAGTTCGAGATCCTTTCCTGATTCAACACACTTGTGTATCCAATGTGGAAAATATATTTCACTAGTATGAGACACTCTAACATCAATGTTTTTTCTCCCTCCAATCATTTCGAGAACCATCATTCCGTAACTATGACATCAGACTTGTGAGAAACTTCTCCGAAATTTCGACAAAATACTTCTGGTGCAATATATCCTACAGTTCCTCTGGCAACCGACATTGATAGGATACTCTCTTTTGTGTTGGATTGTTTAGCAAGTCCAAAATCAGATATCTTTGGACAAAAGTCTTCATCTAAGAGAATGTTGTGAGGTTTTATATCAAAATGCACAATCCTTATATTACACCTTTGATGTAAATACTCTAATCCTCTAGCAATTTAAACTACAATATGAGACATTGTTTCCCATTCCAACTTGCGGTTAACATTTGAAGGTTTGTTATCATATATGAATTTTTCTAGAGATCCATTAGACATAAATTCATATATAAGAGCTCTTTTCTTCTTCTCATAACAAAAACCTAAAAAAGCAACTATATTAACATGAGATGTTCTACTTATGCTATCTACCTCATTGATAAATTCCTCTCCATTACCTTTAGATTCCTTCAATACCTTCACTGCAACAAGACGACCATCTGATAACATTCCTTTGTAGACATCACCGAAGCCTCCTTGACCAAGTTTATCCCTGAATGATGTTGTCATCTTTTTAACATCATAATAACTATATCTATGTGGAGCGAGAGAACCGTAATTTCTAACAAAGGCCTGTACGGTTTTATCATTCTCTATTTTCTTCTTCAAAAATCGTCCTCTACCAACAATGAGAAGAATGCAGAGGATCATTACTACCCCCAGTCCCACCACACATGATGCAACTGCTACGCCAATTACTAAAGATTTCTTTTTCCTTCCATCTGTCAAGAGATCTAGAAATGTCAGCGATCTTGAACAGAAAACGAGTGAAGTTGTAATTGGATACATTAAGTCAAGAGCATCTTGTTTCAATATAAAATATCTTCATTGGAAATGATCATATACTCATTTGTTGAGAATTGATCTATGCATACTTAGTTTACATATTTTGACTACCAAAACGAGAAAGAAGGTGCAGGTGAATTTCATTGTAAGATAGATACAAAGGACATTTAAAATAGTCTTATTAATGATATATCACCATCCAAATGTGCTCTCTACTATAATTAGCTAATTATCAAATCAAAATGCCCCCGGTACCCGACCATAAATATAGTTTGTACCAAAGTAATTGAATCCTTACTATAATGTATTTTTAAATTTTGATATTTAGAATTAGATTTTATACAACACATTATAATCTACGATAATCTAAATATTTATTGATTATTAATGTTATTTACTTAAACCTAGTAGATAATATGATAAATACGAATTCAATACTAATGAGGTTCCTTAAATATAGTATAGGAGAATATCATAGATTATCTTTGAAGTTTCCAAATTTATTATTTGGATGATAACTCTCAGGGATATTATCAATTAAGGTACAAAGTTTTCAAGCATTTCCAATGAAATAATAGAAGTTACAAATAGTTCAATTAAGGGAAATCGCTATTTCCTTTGATGGAAAATGACAAAATGACTTAAATGCCTTTGATTTTTTTTCTTTCTAAGTTAATTTAGTTATTAAATCTAAATTTAAAAAATGTAAAGAAAATTAAAAAAAATTAGAACCAATTTTTTTAAAGGTAAATAAAAGAAATTTAAAAAAAAAATAGAGGAAAATAATAACAACATTTTTGGTTTTTTTTTTATTTTTAATATTTATTTATAAAAAGAATAATTTAAAATATTTTGTTTTAATTCTTTTTAATATTGATAGATGCCTCGTTCTCACCTTCAATCACAACTCACTCAAATCCTAGCAAAACACAAATTCCAAAATTTTACAACCAACACAAATAACAATTTCCGAAAAACACAATCAGCAACACAAAACAATCAAACAAATACTCTTCATATATATATCAATATTGATAGTAATTCAGCCATTACATAGTTTAACTCAACCTAAGATTATTAACACCATTCAAGAACAAAATAAACCAGAACGACTAATAACTGCAACAAAATAAGATGAATCAACTGGACTGGGCCAGCACCTCCCCCGCCAATTTTTTGCTTTTTTACTTTTTAGATATCCCCCCAATTCCCGCTGTCTCCCATTTTGTCCTATTCTTCATAACAAACTTCTTCAGTCATCCACTCCCTTAATGCCATCTATCCCTCCATAAACCATCCTCAACGCCTCACACACAAAAACGTTCCAGCCAACTGCACCAAAATCCCCTACTTCACACCCTTATGTTTCCTACAATAGACCAACACACTAGGGGTCTCATCAAATCTTTACTGTTTTAATTTTCAATTTTGTAAAAAGAATCGTTTAAGTTTGTTCAATTATGTTTTTACCCTCATATAAAGTTAAATCTAACCCTAACTAAATGTAATTGTCCCTTAATTGAAGAATTTGTAAGTTCTGTCCACCATTGGAAAATTATAAACCCTAGTTGATAATATCCTTAATTCTCGTACTTTTTATTATTGATTACCCCCAAAGTTTGAAATTGTATTATAGATACTCCTTGTGTTATCAATAAAATGTATTAAAATTTTAAAACCGTATATTAAAAATTAATTCTCTACATTATTTTCTTAATATTTATCTAAATATAAGCATATAATGGACTAATGGTAAACATAAATTATCAAAATTTTACTATTGTCAAGAAAAGTTTATCTTATTAATAATAGATAGACACAACTACCATTTATAATGCTTAATTCTGATATCAGGAAATCATATTGGCCGAGTCTAAGGCATGAGTGTCTGCTATGATAGGGATACTATTAAAACGGGTGCCCCGTCGACTGTGTGTGAAAGTTGATGCCCGTATTAGAACCAAAGTTTAGGGTCTGTGGTTCGAGCTGCGTATGATTAGAAGTTTGGCTCTAAAATAATGATAATAATAATAATGTTCCTTTAGTTTGTGTAAACTAAGAACTCATTTTGGTATAGTAATTAGCACTGTCCTAAAATTTGAGGAACTTACCTGATGTATCTAGAGGACCTTTTTGTGTAGGTAAGGTTGAACATGCTCCTTGATGTTGATCAGGACCACAACTTCCATTGGATTGAATGCACTTATCACAGAATTCCGTGCCATTCACCTTCCACTTCATTTCAAATCCTTGCTTCAGGGCTTCTTCCAAACCTGATAGACTTCGTTTTGCTTCTTGAAGGAAAGTTTCAAGAACCGGAACAGTGACACTAAAATTCATAAAACCAAATCCTAGTATTGATATTAAACCATCCGAATAATTGAAGTTCTTCTCCATCTCCTCTATGGAGCAAAGTATATGACCACGAGGGACACCATAACGTAATGTGAAATTCTCATACCCAGGAGAATATTCAAAAAGTGTCGAGTCAAAGGTGGTGTCAACCAATTCATCAGGTGGACAGTTGCCGCTCAAGTAGTCGTGTCTCGCAATCTTTAGAAGTTGTGCTGACTCATTGATATTCAAAAC